CTTTCTAACTTAACAATTGCGTATGTCAATTAAAAATGGAATATTATTTTGAGTGTTTTTAATACAATTGTTTCAATTAATCTATATACCTCAAAGTCAATTTAATATCTAAGAATTTTTTCATTCACATTATACGAACAAAAATGTTTTATTAACATTTTCTTACAAGTTACTGCAACTACTCTTCTATGTACTCTACTTATTTTATATGTTAATTTTAAATCACCCTTAAAATCAAAACAACAAATATAAATGTGAAATATTGTGTCAATTATTTAACATTACTAGTTCGTTCATAAATAACACAAGACGAATGAGTTACTTTAACTTAAAATTTAGAGTGGATCTCCTGGGACATGTAAAAAATGTTAAAATTAACATTTTCTTTTTTACTGTGCAGAATTGATACAGAATTGGTATAGAATTAATTACCGAAGTCTGGAAAATTAGATAATTAAACAGTATGACATTTCATATGGCACCCTATATAACATATAACATATAATATATAACATATAAGAGTTTGATATTTCTCTATAATGCCTGAAGATTCTTTGAAAAATAATTCAACAGTTTTTATCACTTACATTTTAAAAAATCAGGGAAAATATAGTCGTGAAAACGAAATATTATTCATTACAATAAGAATTTATCCAAATATCATGACATTTACTATACGCTTATATTTATTATAGACTTCCCAGATAGCATAAGGACGTCCATTGTACGCCCATTGGACATCTGTTTCTGGACATTGGAACGTCCATAGGAAGTCCAAATTATGTCCGTCGAACGTCCTGTGGACGTCCATGGGATGTACATTTGTCACAACTTTGTACGTCCATAGGATATCCGAACACATCCAATTTTGGACCTATTGTGGACTAATTTTTTTTCAGTTGAAGATCTTGCTGCAAATTAGTAATCACGTACTATACGATAATATGTGTTTATTGGAATATATGCTACCATCCTCTGACTGTCTTATTTATTTTCTCCGCTTTCATCAAATGTGAATTAGTCCATTATTGCAGTAAGTGTGTCTTCAATTTAAAATTTGATTAAAAATATTTAAAAGTATTGGGTATTTCATAAAAATAAAAATTACATTTTTTTGGAATTAACTAATTTTATTTGGGCAATATTATTAATATGATATTATATAAAAAGTATGTTATTCAATACTTGTTGGTTCTTGGTTCGGTAAATAAAACGAATATAATAAAAATATAAAGAAAAACATTTAGTAAAAGTAAAATCCAAATTTGGACATCCATAGGATGTTTTGAATAGGACATCCGTATGATGGACATCCCAAGGACGTCTATTTTATGTCCATGGACGTGCGGACGTGATTTGGACTTAAAATGGACGTCCTTGGGGGATGTCCAGTGCTATCTGGGTTATACCTCAAAGCGTAATAGAAATTACTGCACCATCCACGCTGTTCCAATTATCTCTTTAATGATAGAGAGTTTAATGATATTAATTGCGTGTTAATTTTGCATTTCGAAATACTCTATCAAAATTCCACTTCTTTAACCGAACTGATGTAGCACTATCATTACAATCAATGAGATCGCGATAATGTGAAATAATTTAATTGTGCGAGAATTTAAAGGGGCATAAATCAAATCAAAATACGTTGAAACACGAGCACGCACGGTTTCATCCGGGCAATTAGAAAACATTTATTACATCCTATCGTGTTTGTTCGCGCAAACGCGGAAACATTCTTCGCGCTTTACACACTACATACCGCGGTGTGATTATACGAACGATATATCCCTGTATCATGAAGCTGCGGTAAATGTTTCGAATAAAACCCACCGTTAGCTGAAAGACCTTTGTGAACGCCGGGTAAACTCGGCGAAAGCGTAACTACCTTTTACGTTCGCCGGTTTGCCGCACAAGCTCGATGCAAGTTTATTTACGGACACCTGCACGCTCATTCGCGTTCAGATTTCGCGCTGCCTGCATCGCCGACTCCTCCCGGGACATGTCCGACACGGCGCAGTTTGTACGTCAACTTCTTTTATTTTTTTTTCATGTCACGCGGAGGGTAAATAACGCCACCCACTCGCGACAAAAAGAGGAAAATAATACAACTGGCTGCGAAAGAGGAGTGAATATTAAATTTGCGCCCATACATCTCGACTAAATTTACTGCACTCGGCTAATTAAATCGACAACGAATCTCACGAAGCGCGCGCGGTTTTCACCTGGCTGCTTTTCACCTGGCCTTTTTGACACGATCGTCACCTGTCGCCAGAGCAATCAGGTTGATTAGTACAAATTATCGCCAACTGCAGTCTAGAACGCGTTCGCGTGTAAAAGATGAAAAGGTGAAATTCAGGTGTTTCATATAATATATTAATCATAAAAAAATAATAAATTCCAGTTAAAATAATGTCATTCGTCATAACTACACGATCGATAAGAACCATTCACTTGAAAAAAATATCGCGCAATATCGCCTGTTACCCCAATGTTACGGTTTTTTTTAAGTTATATTAATTACATTTTAATTAATTTTATTATGTAAATTTATTGTATATTTTTAAAATATATTAACAATACTTTTTCTGCTTCTTCGCATTACTTTATATCAATGTATATATATTTTCTTCGTATTATCCTCAGACGAAGAAACAAGTGGAACTATCTTTCAAAGAAAGTTGGGAGTAACAAGAAAACGATACGTTTGCCAACGGCGCGTTTATTTCTTAGGGCATGGTGCATCCTTCCTTAGTAAATTTATCCGCAAAACAAGCAATTCGACGAGTTCGTATTTCACGTGAAAGCACAGCGTGCTTGGTCTACTGCGATAGAATTAAGACCTAAAATTTACTAGGTGACAAGATAAACAATGCCGGGGCCATTAATATTTCGTTATAACTCTTATAAAGGTACAATGTTGTAATTTTCATTTCAAGCATTAGTGAATTTATAGTCTCATATAAATTAAAAAATATATATATATATATATATATATATATACTCATATATATTTTTTCTGTCTGATATATATCTTATATATCAGACAGAAATAAATGTTAAATATATAATTAGTCTTTCATATTTTTTACAAATATGACTGCGATAACGTGCGATTAATTGAAGTAATCTTTAGATGGATCAATGAATTTTCGCGAGAAAAACGCTGTTTACAAATCGTCTATTTTTAAATAGATATTTTCTAAAACGAAAAGCAAAGTGCTTTCGCAATTGGTTCTGAAATTCCCGTCTAACACGCGCATAACTTGACCGTCGATTGAAAATCGATACTAGATTAGCCTATCAAATTAACCGCGAGTGCTTCATATAATGTATGTAGCCCCGTAATCGGACGCAAAAGTACCCTGTACGTGGAAAACACGGTTCGCTGAGAGGTACCCCGGAAACGTTACACATGGCCGCGAACTAACAACAATTTGCGATCGTTAACCCATGCCAGAGAGCGCACGAATCGACGGGGTACGCGCGTGCATCAGAGGGCGGAATATTACGCAATGCGCCAACGATAATTTCGATCCCCGCATCGCGAGATTTCTGCCAAGTCCTCTCCTCTCCTCCGCTGTCCAGAAATTTCTCCAATATCCTCGTTTCAGTAAGTGCTTGCCGCGCCCTACGGTAATTTTTCACGTCTCTTTTTCCGCGCACCGTCGGGGAATAACAAATGGCGCTGATCTCACTGTCATGTATAATGCACAGATTTACAGCATCCCGCTATCTGGCACAGCTAACCTTTTTTTTTCCTACCTCGCAACGGACGCGCCAGAATAGGGGCGTTTTTCGGCTCCGGGAATATCGCCGGAGGAAGAAAGTTGTGAAGAGGGTAAAACGAGATCGACACGAAAAGAAGGAAGGAAAGATGAAGAGAAGGAGGAGGAGGAGGAGAAGGAAGAGGAGGAGGAGGAGGAAGGAAAAGGGACTTGATTGCGCGGGGATATTCGAGAATATCATGCCCCACGGTAAAACTGACATCGCCCTGATAAACAACGCTTGTCTACGACCACCAGGATGATAAGAGCAAAGCCCGGGAATTAGCTCAAGTATCGTAACTTCGTATCTAGGTCAGCAGGAAGTTTTTATTTCGCTCTATCTAGCAACTCGTTAAGGATTTACATTTACGAGACTAACTATAATCTAGTTTTGTGCATCGTAAGTTTCGTGTAAGCCCCAACTCAACGGACGATTAAGTACCCTCGAAGCTAGCCTTTAACAGCGTGCTGCAACGATGAAATATTTAGTGCAATATCAAAGATCGGTAATTGTTTCTAAAGCTACAGCGGATACCTATCGAGGTAATCTTGTTGCGAGAAGTAAGATTGTGTTATTAAGAGCAGTTCATTCCGGCGCAGCGATGAGCAGTATATTTAGAAGTTAGGAGGATAACTATATCGGCGAAGAAAAGGGATCAACTCTGTTCACGATTTTATATATATATATATATATATAAAGGGGACATA